ATCCATTGACCACCCATCCATTGACCACCCATCCATTGACCACCCATCCATTGACCACCCATCCATTGACCACCCATCCATTGACCACCCATCCATTGACCACCCATCCACTGACCACCCATCCATTGAGAACACATCCATTAAACACCCAACTATTGACCCTTCATCCACCCATCGTCCATCCATCCGTTGACCACCCATCCATTGACCACCCATCCATTGAGAACACATCCATTAAACATCCAACTATTGACCCTTCATCCACCCATCGTCCATCCATCCGTTGACCACCCATCCATTGACCACCCATCCATTGACCACCCATCCATTAACCACCCATCCATTGACCACCCATCCATTAACCACCCATCCATTGACCACCCATCCATTGACCACCCATCCATTGACCACCCATCCATTGACCACCCATCCATTGACCACCCATCCATTGAGAACACATCCATTAAACACCCAACTATTGACCCTTCATCCACCCATCGTCCATCCATCCGTTGACCACCCATCCATTGACCACCCATCCATTGAGAACACATCCATTAAACACCCAACTATTGACCCTTCATCCACCCATCGTCCATCCATCCGTTGACCACCCATCCATTGACCACCCATCCATTGACCACCCATCCATTAACCACCCATCCATTGACCACCCATCCATTAACCACCCATCCATTGACCACCCATCCATTGACCACCCATCCATTGACCACCCATCCATTGACCACCCATCCATTGACCACCCATCCATTGAGAACACATCCATTAAACACCCAACTATTGACCCTTCATCCACCCATCGTCCATCCATCCGTTGACCACCCATCCATTGACCACCCATCCATTAACTGTCCATGCATTGTCTACCCATTGATCATCTATAGATCAATTAACCATTCACCCTTATATCTACTATCCTCTCTAATTATATTGACGCTTATTACATTAACTGTATGCTTAACATACCACATTATGTACTACAAACGGTGTCTTCTATATACCAAGTGCTAGATATACGATACAATCATCTAACCACTCTTACCCATCTAATTTATTGGCAATACGTCCTTAGACAAGACGAATAGGACATTTTTTAAAAATCTGCCCAAAAGTGCGACCAAATTTTATTACACGTTGGCTTGCACTTGACAATATGGTTAGAGTGGAGTTTTCTTGCCGACTGCGTGTTACAAATACTAGATGGGGGTGGGGAGGGGGGGGAGGGGGGTGGAGGGGGGGGTGGTCTAGTCTCCACACTGCTACACGGGCGAATAGAAACTTCTCTAAATATAGATGGCAGAAACTTCGAGGCTCGGTAATACAAAAACTAGCATGCATATTTTTGTGTCTTTTATTTTATAAATACAAAATGGCATGAACTATTTCTGAAGTCGACTAAATACAGCCAAACCACTCTACTGACAGCGGAATATCAGCTTTCTTTGCCAGGGAAGGACGTACTAAAAGCTTTTAAGCTAGATTTACATTTGTCAAGTTGCGGTCAATACATCCACTCTACTCCCGCAGCTTTGAAAAGTTCCAGCTGTCGGACAGCCCTGCATACATTCTAAATATGGATCTTTTGATCAAATTGTCTTATTTGCAAAATACATCTCCATAATCTTTGGCAGGGTTTCGCTGGGTGATTTCTTAATCCAGTTTTTTGTCGAGCGGTTTTACTTCCGGGTTGGTGCTTACGTCATGGGCTTCAGAAGAGAAGACCTTCGCCGTCTTTCAGCACCTGGAGTGCTGGGTGCTACACTTTTACAGCAATGACGTGGAACTGCTGGAATAAAGACAGGACGTACTTGAAGACGTCTTGGACGTCCGGAGACTTAGCGGTGAATTGATGTCGTTGCTGGCACAAACAGGCAGTTACACATTTAAGTCTTGGTAAATAACTACAGAGATTCTATTTTGCTATGAAACATTTTTAATGCTTGTAATCTCATCCGTATATTAAAAGACGCATACACAAAAGCCCAAGCTAACATATTAGTGCCATTATTCTCATTGAAGGTCGTAATATCTACGGACATTAAGTTCATGAAATATTCCGACATTTAAGGTCATAAAAATATACTAAAATAAAAATATTAACGAACTATAAATTTATAAATTACAGTAAAAGATGGAATGTATTTTTAGAAGTCAAGTAATCTATTCGGGAACGCCTGTGTAATGGAAGCAATATTAGTCCGTTGGAGAGCCTACTCTCTCTCTCTATCATCTACGGTCATTACCGACTCAAGCTTTCGTTCATTAGCCAGACAGGCTGGAACTAGGTTAAGTATGTAGCATTTCATGCAATCACGTCACCAGCCGCTGGACAGGTGGGTTTCAGACAAGATCCCCCCCCCCCTCCACGAGTCCATTGAACCACCTGTTTGGGATACGAGAGAGTTCATTCTGGGTGAGACCGGTCTCCAACTCGAGTTCCGAGTTTTTCGGGATAGCAAGGTCACTCTACGGCTATACAATGCCAGCAAGGTCACTCTACGGCTATACAATGCCAGCAAGGTCACTCTACGGCTATACAATGCCATCAAGGTCACTCTACGGCTATACAATGCCAGAAAGGTCACTCTACGGCTATACAATGCCAGCAAGGTCACTCTACGGCTATACAATGCCAGCAAGGTCACTCTACGGCTATACAATGCCAGCAAGGTCACTCTACGGCTATACAATGCCAGCAAGGTCACTCTACGGCTATACAATGCCAGCAAGGTCACTCTACGGCTATACAATGCCAGCAAGGTCACTCTACGGCTATACAATGCCAGCAAGGTCACTCTACGGCTATACAATGCTAGCAAGGTCACTCTACGGCTATGCAATGCCGCATCAACAGACCATCGAACTCTTGGGCAACCCCGCAATTGTTGGACAAAGAATATGCCACCTATTAATATTTTGAGATACTCTGGGCCATCCCCCACTTTTTGAAAAACTTTAGGCCATCCCTCACTTCTTGGATAAAGAATGGGCCACCTCTTAAAATTTTGATATTCTTTAGGCCACCCCTTACGTTTTGGGGCATATAATCTTTATCCATATATTGCTGCAGCGACTAACAATGTTTTCATGTAAATATCTAGTTAGACGATTTTTCCCCCGTGTCTTATCCAAACTTTAACTCAACAACTTTTTTTCTGACAGTCGTTTTTATTTAGCGTAATTGGACATTTTGTATTTTATTATAAATGTGTATAAAAATATTATTTCGTTTAATTGTGTATTTTATTTATTATGCAATTATTCCATTCATCCAATTTCTTAATTATTTTTACGGTTTGTAAGTTTTTTTTGCACATTTTTTCTTGATATCCTACACATTCTGAAATATTTCTCCTGTCTTCATCAGCCTATGAGAGCGTTACCATCCATCTTTTCATCTCTACTAGACTCTCTCCATCCTTCCTACAATCTTTCAGTTTCAGCCATCCATTTGTCTCTTCAACCTTCCCACACTTCCCCACCCCCACCTTCCTGCCACGCCCCATGCACTCACATTTTACTCCGTGTTAAACACTCCCATCATGTGAGCATCAAAGGTCCCTTGCATCAAGCCCCTCCCTCCCCCAGAACACCCCCCACCCTTGCCCCCAAATCGCTCTAGCACCAAATAAACCCAGAGCTAAAAAAATCCCCCTCGACGATTGATAACATATTTCATTTAAAAACCTCAGAAAAAAGTTATGGATAACTTTTTAATATCATAAAAATGTCATCTGGGGTGATAATGATCATAAAAAAATGATTATAATCCTTGTGACATTTGGGGAGAGTGACAGTTAGAGGTTCACGAAGGATAATTGTCGTCTACTACAGGTGGGGGTGGGAGCCGTTGTCGTTTGCTACAGGTGGGGGTGTGGGAGGTTGTCGTCCGCTACAGGTGGGGGTGGGGGAGGGGGGGGGGCGGTTGCCGTCTGTAACAAGTGGGGGTGGGGGGTGGTTGTCGTCTACTACAGGTGGGGGTTGAGGGGAATGACAAGATTGAGGTCTATTACCTGATCATCTATATTTGCAGGTAGCTAGTACAACTAGTATATCATCAAACTGGTATAGTTAACGACTACATCATTGACACGTAGAAGCAACAATAAAGATGAGTTAACATTCTGCTTGGACCTCAGCCTATATAGGTATTGTGTGGTCAGCTTTAAGACCTGCCTCTTCACCATTCTCTACTCTTAAAAAAATCCCGAGATACGCATTATGTACTAGAACCCGAGACCGAAGTCGATAATTCCGTACTACATGTCACAGATTCAAATTCATTTCAGCTAAATTTCTTGTTTATCCACATGTATGCAGTATGTAATCATTATTTTAAATAAGATCGGGCCTAATTAACTTCTAATATACAGTAATTATTACAATTTCAATAGATGGTTCGTAAAAGAGGAATTTAAGCATGACAAGCTTATACTGCCACAAGGGAAGAATCATTTTGTTTGACGTGAATTAAAAGCGCTCTAGTGGGCCCGTTATATTAGGACCCCCATTGATTTGTTATAGCCTGGTTTGTACTGAACTGATATAATAAGCTTAAGTGATATTATAGCTAAATGTCTTCTGTGCTATAAATAGCACTTGTGTTATAAGACTAGATTGGTTTAAATCTGGTGACATGTTTTATTTCATTCTAAAACATTTTGAACAAACTAAAATTAATTCAATAAACTATTTTTCATGCAATATTTCAAAAATTAATTGACCATTTTCTTTTATCAATATCTATATCGCCATTTCTTACAGGTTAAGTAATTAATCATATACAGTGTAAATTGTCATAATAGGGCCCCCAAAATAACATCAGCGGGGGGTCCGCTTAAGTTTAATCCTCCCCTTGCCAGACTCCTATAAAACAAATTACTTTCAAACGATAATGCTTTAACTACTATACATTTTAACCAAAGGCTATAGAACAATACTTTAAATAGAACACTATAGAACAAGACTTTGTAGCCTATTATAGACCGCCATAATATAATACTTTGTAGCCAACCACATACAACAATTCTATTTGACCATGGTTTACAATAAAAAGATTCTGCAGGCCCATATAGATTACCATATACTTTTTTAACGGAAATACTATGTACTATAAAGCAATAAACCACATTCTTGTGACGGTAATAATATGCACCTTACCATAGTGAACCATATCAATAAAAGGGTACTAATATTTGTTAAATATGCACGATAATATGGTAGACCATAATTATGTATAGACTGTACAGGATAATAACAGATCATAGGACTGCCCGTCAAGTTGACCCTAGTTCACCATTCACTAGCAAGTTCAGCTCCTTCCCCTCCCTCCCCCCAGCACCCAGTGACCCAGCTTAATTACCTACATGACACCTGGAGTTGAGTCACGTGACAGAGAAAAACCTGCTATTCCCAGTCTACAAACTGACGTCATCAGCTAGGCCTAACATCAAGAGACACGAGGTTCAGTCCACTTCAAAAGTTTGAAAAAAAAAAAAAACAACAAAAAAACTTTGGATATCGATTTGACGAGAATAGCAAATATGACATTTTGTGGTTGTTTTTTTTTCTCCATCTTAAGATGAGGACATCACATTGCCTTGTGACGTCACGTCTTGTACTCAAAGTGGACATAAAAAAAATTAGTTTTTTTGCTATCTTTCAAAAGGTTCAATCAGAACTTCAATTCACTGCTTTAATTTTCTAGGTTTTACTTAAGTAAGCTAAGAAAAATAGTGGTGTACATCTTTACGACTGGGGGGGGGGGGGGGGGGGGCAGAGGCGTAGCGAGGGGGAGGGGGGGGGGGGGAGGGGGGTGCGGATCGCACCGGGTGACACCATTTAGGGGGGTGACACCAAGGCAAAAAATAGAAAAATATATAGAGAAAAACTTGAGGGGGGGGGTGTGCTAATCGAAAGTTTGAGGGGGGGGTGCAAATCAAAAGTTTGAGGGGGGGGGGGTGCAAATCGAAAATTTGTCCCCGGGAAGGGTCGCTACGCCTCTGGGGGGTGACACCATTAAGTGCCGCACCGGGTAACACCCAACCTCGCTACGCCACTGCTGGGGGGTTCGATAATCTTAAATCGAGTGTTTAGTGTGTGTGATAACACGGAACTCAAATGTATGTAGACAATTTCAAGACAGTAGTTTACACATTACAAAATATCTGGGCGGTGGAGTAGACCTAAGTATTTATAACAAAATATTTTAAAATAGTAAAATGCTAAAAACTTCATTAAGTCCAGTGTTCAGTACTTGATGAACGGTGATTGGTTTGTTTATTATAGGCATGCACGCCATGATTAGCATCGTAATGTGACATGCGCAGTGTGACATGCGCAATGTGACTTGCGCGGTTTGACATGTGCAATGTGTCATGTGCAATGTGTCATGCGCAGTAGACATAGTACCAACGTGAAATAAAGACGTAAAATATGTTCAGTATTTAATAATATGTGTTTAAACCTTTTTTTTAGTCAACATAGTCTTTCAATGTTTATTTAGTTTATTGAAACAGCAACTGCTGTGACCTAGAATTTTCACATTAATCCACCTAGATCTACAAGCTCTTTCAAAAAACAAATTCAGTGGCGCGTGACGGATCTGGCCACGTGATCAAACATAGAGGTCACGTGATGATAGGTGATACCGGTATAGAACTTTTTTCTTTCATTTCATATCAAGGGAACAAAATAGAACTGTTTTATCTTGTAATAAAAAGTTTTCAAATAAGGATATATATATATATATATATATATATATAAATATATATATATATATATATATATATATATATATATATATATATATATATATGTAACTGGGGTAGGCCTAACTACCAGTTACAAATGATAACGAACGAGAAGCCGCGACGCAGTATGAAATCTGACGCAACCATAACAGGTGGCTTATTGGATCGGTCTGATAACAATCTCAAAGCCAACGCGTGCTATTTTGGGAAACGGTACGAGAAGTTTCAGACGAGCTGTCAACTTTGATGGATGGGACGCAGATGTTTTAGTGAATCGGACGGTACGTCAGAAACTGCGACATTAGTATTCGGATACATCGATTACAAGTATCGATTACGGAAATGGAGACAAGTACGACTACGATTTCAAGGCATAAATAGGAGGGGACGGCAGAACTCGTTCTCTCTCTTCCCGTTTCGAGGCTCTTGCCTCCTTCATCGCTCGCTTAGATCAGTCAGTCTGTGTGACTATGTCAAGTCGGTTATAGAACGGGTTAGCCGTATTGTGTTAAGGAGGATTATAGACATGTGGATTCAGTTATATGAAGCCTAGTGAAGGACTGTTAGGGGTCAGTTGATTCAGACTATTATTGAGAAGCATTCCTGTTGATTTATTGTGTTATTATGAAGCATTTCTTGATTCATGTAATAAAGGATCAATAGCGAACCTGCATCTTGAGTATCTATACTGTGGTCAATGTTGTCTAGAATGAGTGGTTAAACTCGTTAACACGTGGCACTACAGGCAATTAGGTCTCATTACATGTGGCGTTGCGAGCATGGTAACTGTTGGCTCGTTACAATTGGCGTTGTCGGCAGGATAAATGTTCGCTCGTCACAATTGGCGCTGCGAGCAGGGTGAATTCAACTAGACTTGCCGTTTAAGGCACCTATAGTCAACCTTGTGCATAACTGTGTTTAGTGTGTGTGTGAATTCGGACATTCAGGAACTGTGAAAATTGAGGAACGAGGAAAAAAAATTTTTCATACACACACGGTAAGAAAGAACTCTTTTTTTTTAGTACTTAAGGAAGAAAATGTCTACTCTGGACGAGAAGCAGACCCATATAGTGGTCCTACCCAGAGAGTCCCATATTAACAAATTTTACGGGGACGGAGATCCAACTTTAACCAACAGGTTCAGTGAAGAGGTTAAAGCGGCCTGGGC